ATAAAATAAAACATATTATAATTACTTAATGACGATGATTTTTTGTATCAAGAACATGTAATATTGGAAGTATTTTTTTACATTATAATAAATAATTAAAAACGACGTTTAATATTTACACAATTAAAACGTTATTGAAGCCGTACGATTTCCACTTTGAAGCAACACTCTACGAGTACTAGTTTCAACGTGATCTACGTCATCTTCAGGAGTTACTTACAAGACATACTTCATACTTTTACCCCTTGTCGCATTGCTTCACTATTTCCTTGGTCTACTTTATTTACTTATTTATATATTTGTTTATTAGATCTGTGGCACCCCTCTTTTTATGTTACCCCTTCAATCAGATATGATAGTGACATTCATACGTTCAACATATGTTTGAATGTATTGTTTATAATAAACTAAAAAAAATATATTCGGTACATTATGAAGACAGGTTTTCGTTTAGTCTCTTATGTGTTTTAAGTTTTATTTGGATTCGTAATTTAATTCCGAGTGATTTTTTTTATGAAATTATGAAGAAAACATTTTTACGCCATTTTATTTAACTCAAGTGTTCAAAACAATTGCGAATTTATTTTGTGCTTTATCCTTTTATTCATTTTCATCGTTTCGGGTGACTTGTATTTCAGAATTTATCCAGAAAACAGGGCTTTGGATTATTTTAAAGGCATTCACTACAACTTCTCCTAAGATATATTATGCTAACAAAAGATATGAAATCACATTATTAGTTTCACGCTAAAGAGGAGATAACATAATTTATTTTTTATTTCAAAATTTCCTACTTCAGGATTCCAGCTGTTATTTTTTAACATATGCCGCACGATACAGCCGTCATTTTATGAGAATCACAAAATGAATCATTCCGGAAAGATTTTGGTTGTTTTGGTTAGACAAAATGGCACTATTTTAGAGGTCTTGGTCGCTGGACAAGACCCGAGACCATGAGAGCCAACAAGGAGAAATTAACTTGTAAGTGTGGAGTAAAACAATGTAGCAATGTAACGTGCGGTTGTGAATATGGTGGTTTAAGTGTAGCGATTAAGTTAAGCCATGGCTAGATTCGTCAAGTAATTACTTTATTAGCAGCAAAACTTTAAAAAAGGGCACAAGAGTATCGTTATCTTTCAAAAAGGGATTGGAATCATATATACGAAATCATTAGTTGGAATATTTTGTGAAACTAATGGCACATTAAAGCCCAAAGATGCAGTATTGAAGTTCAAGCAGATACACTACAAGATGATGACCCTAGAAATTCTCAAATTAAAGATGTCTTTTCTGCAATGAATAGTAAATATAAGAAGGAGAGTATAATACTACAATGGTACCACCATTGTATAATACTCATTTATTTCATCATGTCATATTTTTAATAATATTTCGTTTTAGAAGCTGTGACGAGCTTCAGACTGAAAGATGCTGGGCCGACTCGTGTGGCAGGTGTTATAGTTGTCAGTCATCACTTGTATTGCCATAACAACCAATACGTTTGGGATAGGAAGTCCTTGTTTTTCTTCAATATTAATGAATGTGCTATTTGATTTATTTCCAATTGTTCATAAATTTACACTCATTATTATAAAAGGTAATATTAACTAAATTGGAAAATCAGTAACGCAGCAAATTATAATACCTACAGAAAAAATATTTCGACAGATAAACAACTAGAAATAATAGTTGATAGAAGATAGACAGATAGCCAAGTTTTTTTACATGTAAAAGTGCTTGTTTTATTCAGTTAAATATATTGAAGATGTTGTACGTAAGTAATCCGTCAGGTTGTTTTTTCTTGTTCGTGTCTATACAACGGGTTATGTGAGCTGTACTTGTCAAAAGTATCGAACCCCCAATTTTTAGCGTTATAAGTCCTCAAGCTTACCGCTCAGCCACCAAGGGGTCTTTCACGTTATCAATATTGTTTGTAATATGTTCCACACATATCGTAAAATAAACCTCTAAGCATTAGTTACTATTCAATCTCTGTGTTAGTACTCGATAATGATTCTAACAAATATGTCGTTTTCGGTAATGGTTTATTTTAAGACATCGCTCTAAAAATTCTTATAACTGTAATGCATATGTTAATTTTGAATCTTTATGTGTGAAATTTGCATATAGTCATTCAATACCTTAAGTGGCGCACTTCGTGGAGATTTTGCCCTTAATCCCTCTATGCACTTCTCCATTTGAAGGAAGGATTAGAGGACCATTTATCTCAACCCAAACAAAGTGTATAGAGCACTATTGTTGATTAATCTGATTCGTTACACAAACTATGCCTAGTATACAGTACGAGTAAAATGGTTTAACAATTTATATGTATACAGTCTGTGAATGTGACAACAATGTATTACGGATATGTAAACAACTTAAAGCCTTTCAAAAGAGGGTATTCCGGTTTCTAAGCTGGTTTCTGGTGTTTTTTTTTCATGTGTGTTTGAAAGTTAAATTATATAAATAATATTTTATTTGCTTTAGTTCAACAAAATGTAGGCATTATTATTTAGATCAACTTCTAATAGATTGTATGAATGGGTTGTGGTAACGGCGTCAATAATGTGCAGGAAATAGATACTGCTATAATTCATGCTAAAATGGCAGAGTGCATATTATATATTTCATGTAATTTTGGTATATGCCAGTAAATTATTCACGGAATTAGCAAACATTAAGGAATTTAAGAAATATGACACCTCTGTTACGAAGTTAAATTTTTTTTATTTACAATCCTACTATTTATCTATATTTCAAAATTTTGTTGAAATTAATGGTTTTAGAAATTTTGACTTGAAACAAGGACCTTTTCTTTACTAGTTTAAATCTAACATCAGAAATATAAAACATTTATTAATTTATGAAAATATCACTAGAAAATACTAACTTCGATAAAGAAATTGAGAATCTAAAAATCAGGAAAACAGTTTAAAATTGATAGTCTGTACAAACCTTTCCACTGTCACAACATTTCATATAACGTATGTTGAGAGCAACACAGTGAGGAAATAATTGATACTGAAGACGTATTTCTTACTAGTTCTTAGACAGGAATTAAAATTCAAGTCCTACGTTAATTGGCAAAATTGAATTTATTAAGAATGCCCGAAAGATTTGCCAAACATTAATCAAGCTTATAAAAGACTTTAGTTGTTGAGATACTGAATTTGTTAATAGGTGATGACTTTAATATCAAAACAAAAACAATATATTCTTAATTTAGATTAGTGCTAAAACGGCTTTTACATATTGATTTAGATTAAGACTCGGGTTTGACATAGTGATTCAGATTGAGACTCGGGTTTGACATCTTGAATTCGGGTTAAGGTTATTAATTCCTGGTTGTTATTTTTCAGATTTTGGCTCGAGATTTTATATTTTGATTCTAGATTAAGGTTATCAATTATACGGTTTTCTACTTTTTATTCCTTATATCCACTCTAAGAATGTCTTCAGCTATAAGAATGCTTAGATTGATTTTTCACATTAAGGTCTCGGGGGCTTATACCTTCATTACACATTAAGATTGTAACATCAGGGGTATCTTCACTGTTGCAATAGAGATACTATGTATCTAAGTATTGATTTCGGGTAAGGGTTATGTCTACTTTGCTTTAATATTTTCAGATTGAAACTCCGACTTTGATTAAGGTTATGAAATGTATAAACGTTTCTGTCTCATTTAAGGTTAAATTTTGTGTTCTTAGACTTTGATTTCGGGTAAGGGTTATGTCTACTTTGCTTTAATATTTTCAGATTGAAACTCCGACTTTGATTAAGATTATGAAATGTATAAACGTTTCTGTCTCATTTAAGGTTAAATTTTGTGTTCTTAGACTTTGATTCTAGAATAGAGTTTTCTGGTTTTTATACTTTGATTAAAGGTTAAGCTTATGGCTCGAAGGGTTTTATATATTTGTTTCATTGCGGTTAGGACTTCAAAAGTTTCACCTTTCATATGCGTGTAACTATAGTTTCAGCTTAATGCCAGGAATTCCATTTTTGTTTGTGAATGATGGTTTCGTACTTTAGCTGGAATATATATACCATGATATTAAAACTAAGAATTTGCATATATATTTTATTTCCTATTAGAGCTAACACTTGAAGGTTTTATCCCATTCACATCAGATTACAAATCAAATAAGATTCAGGTTAGTATAATACCTTTTGGTCTTTTATATTTTATCTTCATACCGTATCTATAGAATTCTGTGTTTTTATTTCACTATTTCCAAATAATATTATATGTTTAATGGAGTTTATATTTCAAGACAAATGCATAATGTTTGTACATTATTTAGAGTTAGGAATAGGGCGTCTAGGGTTTATAATTATACATCTATGTTGGTTATGGCTATATCTTAATAATTACTTGTTAGTATTATATAAACTGATTTGAGTTACGTTTGAGTTATGATTGGTTCTTCTATTTCGAAGGTTTTAGACATGGTATTCTTATTAAGGCTAGGATATTTTAATTTAAAGCTAGATAGCTTACTTTTTGATAAAATTTACAATTTTTTTACATACCTACCGTAATACAATTAACATTTGGTTTCTGAATCACGAAAAAAAAAATACACTTTTCTAAAAATACAAACATAACAGTTTAGAATAAATTATTTTTATTGTATTAATTTATCTCATTTCTTTTCCTTACTAATCGTGATAATTACGTTAAATTATATTAAGAGTTATCACTTACTATTTCTAGAATAAATCTTTAGGTTTATACACCAAGTAGTAAAAACATGCCTAAATCACCAGTCGTTTCGAAATGACATTTTTTTTTACCTCTATTCGTAGGTTTTACAGTATTTATAAGAACAGATATTGAATATTATGATTTCATGTAATTGGATGTTTGATACACATTTCAACAAGTATATGCTTTTCTGTAAAATAAACAACTGATAGATATACTGAAGAAGGTTTATAACAACACTTCTGTGTTGTGTTTTATTCGTAATATAAAAACTCAATCCACTTACCCTCTCTTTTGACGTTCTCGAGATTTCTGTGAAAAATGTTTGTAAAGTCAAAGAGAGAGGCTCCTCTCGTCATACCAATTAAAATAAAGATCAAAAGGTTGATATGCATAATTCTAGGGGAAAACTTCATAGCTTAAATATTAAATTAGCAGAAATTATTTCTAATGGAAACAGGTGGGCACGTTAATGCTAACGTAAAATGGCTTGGAACTTCCGAGCGAAACAGACGATGTAGGTTGCCAGGTGTTGCTAAGAAACGAGTTGTCTATGTGTGTCGTTGGGTGTCGTCTCTGTTGTTCTCTACTCTAAGAGCTTGACAGCGTTTCTACAACTATGGACAGCTAAGCAAATCTTTTGAGTCCTTGGCTGACCCACGCAGTACCACAGGAAGTTTTAGTGCAAAGGAGTAAACCAAGATTACGCATGCGTAGAAGCATTTTAGTCATAATGTTCAATCTGATTGGACAGATTCATGATGACGGAGGAACAGCTCAGTAACACTCTTCCCACACGTCTATAATTTTTCGAATTTTACGTTTCTATTTCTTTATCCTCGTCTTCTGATACCCTTCCTTTTGATTCCATTATATCTTTCCTCGACAACAAAAATAGCTTTTGAAAACAGACAATGCACCCCCTAACACGATGTCTACACAATAATCACAAATTTCTTTTTGCAGGTGATACTGTTCATTAGATCTTAATCTTTTCTAGGCTACTCTTAGTCGATGTCGAACTGAACATGAGAAGTTTATCTATAAACAAACTAATGAAATGCTTTTCCGAAAATGTTATTTTTCTTTATAAACCCCTATTCACGAAATACACTTCTACAAAAGTCAATATCCTTTCTAAAAGAATGAAATGAAAGTATTACAAGCAGTTAAATTACAAGGTTGAATGAGAGTGACTCAAGCAATACATAATGCTCAGATAGGAAGTGATGTAGTAATGGCTCAACAAATAATCACTTTTTAGGTTTTAATTGATGAAGTGCGTACTTTTGAATTAGTAACTGATAACAATATTTCATGTTCAATTGCAAAGAGAAACGATAGTAAATAAAATAAGGTATATATTGCTCAAATAATGAATGAAACAAGGCTCCCAATACGGGTATTCATTCAAAGACATTCCCTCTTCACGTAACATAGGCCTGCGAATTTAAACTTCATAAAAGTTCTTTTGGTTTTAATAACGGATTTCCCATATTTTAGCTACGCAGATTTCGAAAATAATATTCATTTTTTTCTATCACATAAGGACTTTTTACAAATCGGGAAGAAATAAAAAACTCTTACTTAGATCAAATTATTATTTCCTTTACCACAATGAACATTTTTTATTATCATGTTTGTTAACAAAAATACAAACAGACTGAAGAAAGGGGAAAAACAATGATGCCAAACGAATATGCATCCTCATTCATCCTGATTTGTTTTGTGAAATCTACGCCTTCTGGTCTCAAACTACATGTTGTGGTCTTTCTTTTATGTATTGCGTTATGACGTTTTGTGAAAATCTGTACCTGACGAAGAAAAATGAATATCATTTTCGTATTCATCGTATAGGAATTATTGTAGAACATGTAAAAATTTCAAGACAATAAAACCATCTAGGCTTGTGTAATTACTAATACAGACACAGTGCCCAGATTGTAAACTATATTCATTTAATGAATAATTCAAGATAATAACCGAGGTGGCGACTGACACAATACACATTGTCCTAGGTGTAAATAGTAGCAAAAGTCCACATACTTCTGATATTGAAACAAAAAATACGCACTATTCAGGCTGTAAAAAAAAATATATACATATATATTCTGATGTCTGCACCATTAGACTAATCATAGTGAGTTATACAATACGTACTGTTAAATCAGTTAATTATTAAATACGCACTGTTCAGGCAGTGCATTGTACAATTCGTACTGTTCAGGCAGTGAAGTATTAAATACTTAGTGTTCAGGAAGTGAATTTTGCAATAAGTACGGTTCAGGCAGTGAATTATTAAATACTTTTTGTTCAAGTAGTACATTGTACAATACTTACTGTTCTTGCAGTGAATTATACAATACATACTGTTCAGGCAGTGCATTGTACAATACTCTTTTCTGATAGTGACATAAGTACCATCTATTTTTGTAGCGTTAACTGAAGCGTTAAACGCCATGTTAATAGCGACATAAGTACTATACATCATTATAATATTAACTGAAGCACTACACGCCATTCTAATAATGACTGAAGGGCCAAACGTAACTCTAATAGTGAATGAAACGATATAAACAAATCTGATAAAGCGCTACACATAGTCTAATCACAGATATAGGACGTAAATTAAAAGTGGGGGGTCCAAGGTTTATTTGACCGAGCGAAACGAGGGAATGTGCGCCACAGGTGTATCCATTACGGCTGGGCGAGCAGTAGAAGCTCTTGGGTTCTGGATAAATTTCAAGCATTCTCCTGCTTTTACTGTGAGTAATTTTCCTAATTTTGATGTATTTTTTACTATAACATGGAAAAATTGGGGCTCCCCAGCCCCAACGCTTATTATTATTCATTATTCTGAAAGACACTGAGCATTACACATTATTCTAATAGTGACTGAACTGTTCCACGTTATCCTAAGCGTAAACAGAGTACTATACATAATTTAGAGAGGGACTGAAATAGTGAAACATTATATATAATTATAATAGTTACTAATGCGTTATACATCATTTTAATGCAGAATGAAGCATTATACATAACTTTAATAGTGACTAAGAAATATACAAGATTCTAATAGTGACTGAAACGGTAGACGTAACTTTAATAATGACTGAAATATTGTACATATTTCTAAGTATACTAAAGCGCTATAAAGTATTTTGATAGTAACTAAAGCGCTAAATGTCATTCTGATAGTGACCAAGGAATTATACATAATTCTGATGGTGCTTGATGCGATATCAATAATTCTAATAGCGATTGAAACACTATACAGAATTGTTATGGTTCCTGAAACGCTATTCATAATTTTAATAATTATTGAAGTACCACGCGTAATTCTAATACTGGCTGAAGTACTGTACATTATTTGTTTAGTGAATATAGCCGCTATAGATGATTCTAATAGTTACTGAAGAATTATACATAGCAATAAAAATGACTGAAGTGTTACACACAATTGTAATAGTAACTGAAGGACTACACAGCATTTTAATAATAATGGAATCACTACAGATAATTCTAATGGTGACTGAACAGCTACAAATAATTCTGGTAGTGAATGAAGCGCTACATGTCATTTAAATAATAATTGAAGTGTTATACATAGTTAAAATAGTGAACATTATTCATAATTCTAATAGTGACTATAGAGCCATGCATAACTATAATAGTGACCGAAACAATGCGCATTATTCTACCAGTAACTGAAACAATACATATCATTCTAATAGTGACTTAAGGTCCATATGTTATTCTAATAATGACTGAGACACTATACACAATTCTAATAGTGACCAAAGCGTTATGCTTAACTTAGTAGTGAAGCTAAAAGTACAAAACCCTATAACCCGAGCGCTTTCCAAGGACGAACCTGTCTTATTACAAGTATCATCAATTATAACCACGTTTCACCAGCTTGGAAAAAGCATTCACACCGAAACTGTACAGAATTGCTATAATGACTGGAATGCTACACTCATCTTAATAGCGACTGATGTATTATACATAAATAATTATAATTGTGACTGAGGCTCTTGTACATCGTTCTAATAAGGACTCAAGCGCTACATGTCATTCTATTAGCGATTGAAACACTATATATAATTCAATACTGATTGAAATACTACACCCTGTAACAGTATCATTCTAACAACTTACCTATTAAATGAATAACACTTTACATAATTCGTGTTATAACAGATGCCCCAAACATATAATAATAAATTAAGATTATCTGAAACATTTAGTTATCTTTCATGCCACTGAATGTACCGCACAGTCTTACATTACAGGGAAAATAAACTTAATTATTTGTTCTTCTAGTAATGTTTGATCTCTGGTGTTTTGATGACGCCAACTTTAAGTTCAGACCAAGACATACAAAGTTTATTATAGAAAACATTTTTCACACTCTGACTAAATCTACGGACACAGTTTTATCTTTTATAAACTCCTTCGGTTATATCTAAAATCTAGTTCCGTGTTTGAAGTTCTGAAAGACTATATGAGGAACTGCGAACATCATAATGTTCACATACTTAAATCAACTCACTTCTATTAATCAAAATCTAAACAACTAATTACATATTTAATGTGATATAAAGAATGTATTATCCTGATTCCTCTCTATAATAAACAGCAAAATTGTAAGAGTAGTCAGCTCATTGACATTATCCAATGTCAAATTACTGATCAGCACTGAGGACTAATGTTTAAAGTAGTACACAGACTTGAGATATGGAAACGATCATTTTTATCTATCAGTCACCTAAATGAGTTATTTTCTGTAAGATTAAATTAGAATCAAGCTGCTATGAAACACTCGAGATTGACTGCTTAATTAAGTAAGGGAACCAACTAAGTAGACTCATTGTTCTTTATAAAAATATGCGAGTCGAGTATTGTTTATTCCGCGCGGCTCAACCTTTTCAAGGAAAAGCATTAGATGTTGATCCTTCCCAAACAATGCTTAATCTTTGTGCTCGAAATAAAAGAGAAAGAGATTAAGTTACTAACAAATTAAAACACGTTTAGAACGAGAATTGCAACATCCGTCAGTTTAACCTGGTTAATGATGTTCTGGAACGATGGCTTAATTTTCTTCACAGAACTGATATTAACTAGCTGTTGTTTATTTACCTTAATTAAAGGTAGTCGTTTTGATAAACTGCACTAAAGGAGTTAAAGCAAAGAATATGTATGGGAGAAACCGATCTAGAACGCTGATTGTAAGCTCTGATACATAAAACTACAATTATGTTTTAGCTATGTACAAATATCTTATGATGAGTTAAGAATATGTTTACTTGCAGATCGCTAAGAATAATAAAGATTTAAATAGAACTAATGTTACCTGAGATCAAGAAATAGGGAAAGAATAAGATTTAAATAG